CAAGGCACAGTAGCTTCTGCGCGAACGATTGCCCTCTCAACTGCTTGGTGACGTAACACCGATTGAGGAGAGTTTGTTTGCAGCGGATTCGGCCTTGAGCATGGTTCGACCATCTCGTTGTGTGTTGCATTGCACATCTTGTCTGCAGCTGCGGGGGGTCTTGGGGGTTGCGGTGGTGCACAGTTCCGAAGCGGGGCTGCAGTCAATGTGCCCTGGCCGCAATGAAGACGATTGACGTCACGAGATGAGTCCAGAGTCAGAGAGTTCGTGTCTGCCAGCCACCGGAATGTTTCACCAATGACGATGACATTTCAATTCGCATTACACTAGCCGAGGCGATGTGACAGGTGTGGCGATGCAGGACCTGAGAATATTTCCTTCAATCCTTCGGTCTGTGTGGGTCGCTTCCAGCCAGCGCAAGGAAGCTTCTTGTCGGCGCGGGGGGCATTTGGCCAAAAATCAAGTCAGCTCCATCCTCGAAGGGTTTCCGGATTGAGACTCTTCATGCCATGCATGTGGATGCGAGGCAGTTGTTGCCACCCGGCATAGCGAATAGCAGAGGCCAGTGATTGCGATCGTCTCGCCACCAAGTTGTGTGGAAGAGCCCATCGAGTGTGATTTCATTAAAAAAAGTTACATTATGCGGTGTCTAATATAATATATAATAATCAGAAAGGGACGTTCATAGTTACCCACACCATGCCGGGGGGTCCCCCCCCGCCCCAACCACAGCACAACAGGCCCCAAAACCCCATTCTAATTATTAGGGCCCCCCAAAATAGGCTTCTCCACAACGTGGTCTGCTTCGGGCAGCTGGTCCACTGCCGCGCATGATCAGTGCAACGCTCGGATGCAGGGGCGCAAGCTGTTGCAATGCTAAGCAGTCTTTGTGCTCATCCTTGCAACTTGCTGTTCTTGTTTCTAGGTGCCGTGTTGGAGCACCCCCTCGCCAAAGTCGAGCGGAGGATCAAGCATGGTTGGAACTGTCTTGATGCGGAGAGTGTTTGCAGGAAGATTGCATGCACTTGTCGCAGGACTTCCGACAGCTGTCGCACATAGATAGCTTGCGGAGAAGCATGCGTTCAAAGAAGTCGCTCGCTTTTCCCAGTTCGAGTTGGAAAGATGTGTGTGTTAATGGACCGTGACAAGACATATCGCCAAGAGGCCCTTGGGCACCCCCAAAATCTCTAGGCCCAAAGCCCTGAACCTTGAACTCCCAACCAGGCGTTGCTTTGCAAGGTCGCTGTCTTCATCTTGCACGCGTTTGGAGCCCATTCCGCGCGTTCCAACACCTACTCGTCCGGCATCCCGGGATGCAAATGCACCACGGCTTGCACAGGCCGCTGCTCAGGGTAGTGTGCAGTGTGCTGCTTGTCCGGGTCCCTCCATGTAAGTAAGCTTTCTGAAACTGTTGTGCAGGGTAGGTTTTGGGCATCCGGTCCCAGGCTGTGGATTCTGGGGTGCCTGTGCGTCGGGTTACGTTTCTGGGTTCAGTTTTGGAGATTGCAGGTTTTCGTCAGAGACCTGGATGCAAGCAGGATTGTATTAGTTGCAAACTGTGAGGTTTCCGTGATATACAAGCATACCATTTGTGGAACAATGCGGAAGTTGTTCGACTTCAGCGTGCGTTAGCCTTGTGAACTTGGTTCTTGTATGGCTTTCGCAACTCGACCTGTCCGGAGACTGCTGCGGCTGTCTCCTTCACTATGAAGTTGCGGGCGACAAGCGCTGCAGAGCTGAGAAAGGCGCGTGGGAAGGCATGAAGTGCATTCGGTAGTCTTGCCACATCTCACCGTTCGTGTTGAGGTCCTTGCGCTGCAACGCTCCGGGACCCAGGCACTGAGCAATCGGAAGCCTGTGTGTCATAACGAGGCATGTAGGCATGATAGGACAAGAAGCTTCGGCACTAGCAAAACGCAGGCTGCCCTGCCGCCTTTGACCGCGGCTCCATCTTCGAAGAAGTTAATGCTTGCGGTTCGAAGGTTCGGTAAGCAGCACGCCACACCATGAAGCAGTGATCGATTGGAGGAACTCCGGTGCCGGCAAAGGAGGAACTGTCGATGCTGTAAGGGAAGATCCAGGAAGTGCAAGTGGGCAAGTTGCAATTCGATGAGGACGTCCGAGTTCAAGGTCTTCATCTTCTAGGTGCTGGGTTGAAGTGCTCCTAGTGTCGGGAGGTAGACAAAGTCATGTCAGGCCCGTGACCCCGGACACCCAAAGCTCAACGCCGCTTGCCCGTGATGCATCTCGGATTATTGGCTTGCCCAGCAACTCTTAATAATCCTTGACGTAGGCTCATCCTCCATGAACCTTCAAGGACATCATGGATCACGTGGCATTGGCTGAGAAGTCTTTGCCCGGGTGGGTTGCAGCTCAGGAGACATTGCTCTTGCTTTGCTCATCTTCCACCAACACAGTGACGGGTGTGAAAAATCCGCCCTGCAGGCCTTCCTAGATCGAGCATGCTCGGATGGATGCGGTATTTCCAAGCAAGAGCGGCTTCGCATAAGACAGGCTGGGAAACTGCTCGTCGTGTGCTCAGTCCTGATTCCCTGTGACGTGCAAGCAGGTCTTCGAGCGCTTCAAAGATCAGAACGCCCACGAGATCCATCGAAGCGCTCGTGCCTCATATGGGTCCGGCCTCGGCTTACAGCACCTTTCTTGCTTGCTCCGTGGGCGTGTGCGCAGCCTTGCGAATGCGCGGCCATCTCTCAGCTTCCTGCGACCGCAGGTGTCTGTCGATGATAGCTACTAGTTACCACGCAGCTAGGGATGCTTTAGAGCCATAGCTGCATGGCAGACTGTCTCGTCGAAGCTTTCATGTAGAGCGAGATGGATGGTGATGCATCCCGGCGCTCCGTCAAAGCTTCCAACTTCCTTCCTTTCGATTTCCTTACTGCTCTCGGCAGTGAGGGTGTGAAGTTCCTTGCTTTCAAGGCCGGCTGAAGCATGCCCCGAATGTGCAGAAACGAGAGCACGCCTTGCTTGTGCTCTCTCTCTCTCTCTCTCTGTCTCTGTCTCTGTCTCTGTCTCTGTCTCTGTCTCTGGCTCTCTCTCTGGCTCTGTCTCTGTCTCTGTCTCTGTCTCTGTCTCTGTCTCTGTCTCTGTCTCTGTCTCTGTCTCTGTCTGGCTCTCTCTCTGTCTCTGTGTCTCTCTCTCTCCCTCTGTGTCTCTCTCTGGCTCTCTCTCTCGCTCTCTCTCTGTCACTCTCTGTCACTCTCTGTCACTCTCTGTCACTCTCTGTCACTCTCTGTCTCTCTCTCTCTCTCTCTCTCGCCCCCTCTCTCGCCCCCTCTCTCCCTCCCTCGCTCGCTCGTGCCCGCATGGAGAGGTGAGTCCAGATTTAGACTGGGCGGAGTCACTGCAAGGGGCCAAGCTCCACATCAGCTGCTCGACAGCACGGGGAAGATATTTAGCTTTAGGTACCACTTTTTGAGAGCTGCAGAGGAAGCGATCCACCGAGCGAGCATTGCTACCAGCGAGAGAGACGAAGAAGCAGAAGCTGATTCTGAACAAATGTTGGATTGAGTCCTGGCGGGTTAGGTGGTCTGTCCTCCACTGATCCCCTTCCAAAAAGAAGGAGGCAGAGAGCAAGAGGGAGCAAGGCAAAGCCCAATGCATGTCTTTGTCTGTGTGTGTGCGTGTGTGTGGGTCTGTCTGTCTGTCTGTCTGTCCGTCTGTCCGTCTGTCCGTCTGTCCGTCTGTCCGTCTGTCCGTCTGTCCGTCTGTCCGTCTGTCCGTCTGTCCGTCTGTCCGTCTGTCCGTCTGTCCGTCTGTCCGTCCGTCCGTCCGTCCGTCGGTCCGTCTGTCCGTCTGTCTGTCCGTCCGTCCGTCCGTCGGTCTGTCTGTCTGTCTGTCTGTCTGTCTGTCTGTGGAAAACACCTACATTGGACCTACATACGTGTATCCACATCTCGCCATCTCTTTTCTGCTTCTGGACTTTCCTTGTAATTCCGAATTCCCAGTGCGTGAAATTGCGCGGAGGGCTCAGCACGTGCGACGCTCGCTCTCCTGGCTGTGCGGAAGAAGCAAGAAAAGACATAGAGAGATGTGTATACACACATGATGGCATGTATATAATATATATATATATATTTGTATATATATATATACATACATACATACACACGCCTACATTACGCTCGACCTTGTTTAAATTGAATTCTGTAGACTAGTCTAAGTCTGGGACTGTATAATAACCCCGTGCTGTGCTGTCAAGTTTAGTCTTGACATGTCCGTGTTCGGTTTTGATGGTTTCCGTGGAAAAACGATAAGAAGAAAATAAAACGATAACAACATACAACGAAACGGTAACGCATTCTTCGTGGTAAAACGATAAGAAGAAAATAAAACGATAACAACACTCAGGGACAAGGATTGTTATACGGGGTTATTATACAACATTATACAACCCCAAGTGTCTCCTTGCTTGACTTGTTGCTGAACTTCGTGGATTCAACTACCCACTTCATTCATCACTTGGCTTCTGGACTTCATCCCGACCCCCAACTACTCGCAGCACAAGTTGGTTTCAGAGAAAATGACTCATCAGTTGATTTCTGCGGCTTCTGAAGCGCCTGAGGCCAAGAGGGGGAGGTGTCCTTGGAAGCGCCAAGATGCAAAGAGGAACTGGGCATCCGCCCTTCAGAGAGCGAGTGGAGCGCGGCTCTCGGCTCCGGATTCTCCAAAGTAAGGTTTGAGCACGGTTAGGCCTTCAAGCTTTGGGGGCTCTAAGCTCCGTTGAGTGGCGGTTCAGGATCGGTTTGGGTTGTGGGATTCTTCTCCCTGTGGCCTCGACTTGAGGTCAGCTTCTATGCCTCGCACCGCCCAAGCAGGGCTTAGCCAAGCTGAAGATCTGCGGCCGTGTGGATGCTGTTCTGCAGCTTCACCGGACGAGCAGCCCGGCAGCTCAAGGAAACATGTATAGCTGCTAGTATAGCTTTTGCACTTGCATGATAGTCTGTGGGATGGATGCTACCGAACAGCAAGCTTTGGAGCTGAGCGGCGCTTCTGTGGCTGAGTGCAGTTTCCGGGCTTGACGTCGTCATCTATGATTAGCACGGAAGCACCAGCGGAACGAGCGCTCATGAGTAGCGCAGTAGCGCCTAGTCGTTTCTGCATTTCGTTTTTCGCATATGTATGCCATCTAGAACATGATATTTGGTCCTAACTCAAGCAGGGGTGATGTCTTCACCCGACATAGTGCGTAGGGTTGGACGGGGAACGAGAGATGTAGTCTGCCGACAGTCTCCAAGCGATTTTGCCTGGTCTACCGAGGCAAGATTTTGTCTGCTGCTGATTCTGCGGCGCGGATAACCCAAGAGGAACTCAGTCGGCAACAAGATGCCGGCAACAAGGCGAAGAGAGGCACCAGCCTGCTGCTTGTGACATTGGCTTGCCTTTGGCAGTGTGCTGCTTTTATAGGCAGAACAAAACGACGACCTGCATTTGTGACTCGTAGTATAGAGGACGTCATCTTGTGGACATCTGACGCACAACCCCTCTAAACCACATGCAGTGGCATGTGTGTTGCAAGGATCATTTGGCACGTGTTGTGTCTTGCCTGCCAGGACAGCGCAAAGCCGAGGCGCGGTGCAAGTTTTCACTCATTCATTGCGATCCCAGATTGCATCAGAACTCCTTGTACCTCTTCGGACATGGCTCCGTGAAGGAGCGATTCGCCTGCCACTGGTAGTCTCGCGTTGCAGGCAAAACGTCGCGCTGAGACTCGCAGTCGCTGCCAGCTGCCGTCCTTGTCGGATGCGCTGTGCGGAGTGGCGCGACGGCAAACCATTCTGTACTGCATTTTTCGGTCCGTGAGAGTTTCATAGGGACATCGAGCTTCTGCTGCTACTACTACTACTACTACTACCACTACTACTACTACTACTACTACTACTACTACTACTACTACTACTACTACTACGTCTACGTCTACGTCTACGTCTACGTCTACTAGTACTACTTCTGCTACTACTACGACGACTACTACGACGACGACGACTACTACTACTTCTACTACTACGACGACGACTACTACTACTACGACGACGACTACTACTACTACCACTACTGCTCCTGCTCCTGCTCCTGCTCCTGCTCCTGCTCCTGCTACTGCTGCTGCTGCTGCTACTGCTACCACCACCACCACCACTACTAGTACTGTTATCACCAGTCTGATTCTGCATTGTAGTGCTGAGGAGTTTTGTCAGTCTCGATGGATTCCAGGGCTCGTCATATGTGAACCGACACACGCAGAATCTGTAGCAGAGGTGGCTTGGGACTTTGGGCGAGAGCTGGAGCCCATCTACAGAGAGGACTCGAGAAAAATGGGCCGCTTCCCACCATCCCTAACTACCCAACCCCCCCTTGGGAGGATGCCTGGGATGGCAGTGGCCACGCTCCAGAGGTGGTCAGGCGAGAATCCACAGTGAGCAAGGGCATTCCTGCCGAGATGTTGGGCTTGAAGCTCAAGATGAAGGTGGGGAGACAGTTCTCAGAAAGCTGTGAACGCTACTCTCTCAGGTTGGGCATTCTCTGTAGGTGTTTGGACTCCTGTGTTGGCTGAGGTCGTTGAGCTGGAGGCCGGGCAAAGTCTGAAAGTGGCCTTCTGGAGTATGGGCAACTTCTGCATGGATGGCCTGGAGTCGGTTACTTTTACCAGCTACCAACTCGAACGTCCAGGTGGGAGTTTCCGAATATCAGGGGGGCTTATAGCTTATGTTGGGGTTTTTATAATAAGGATCCCACTGTTAGGGTACTATATTAGGGTCCCCTCTTTTTGGAACCTCCCAGGTGCAAAGGGCAAGGCGAGGCTCCAGCTGACCGGAAAGGCTTCGGATTCACCGGGCCTCCACGTTTTGGGGCATCCGGCGAAGGTCTTCCCGCCCTTTGATGACCTGACTCTGATCGCGGTGCATCTGCCGGAATCCCGGGAGCTCCAGATCTGCCCTTGCGCGCTCTTCAACATTGAGATCGACCGCCAGGGAAAGGGCTACTCAGACCCGAATGATCCCGTAAACCTCAACAGAGAGGAGGAGCCGGTTCCGGAAGAGGACACGGGCCCAATGACGGCCAAGCAGTACCGGGACAAGCGCAAGCTGGCGATTGAAAGTTTTGGTACTGCGAAGAAAATGAGAAGCTTTGGCCAGGTTGCTGAGCGTTTGGACAGGGATCTGGAAGTGGCAAATCTCGAGCAGTACACGGGAAGCATCAGTGCAAGAGTGGAAGAGCAACTGAAGCTAAAGCAAACTGCCGAAGAGAAGGACGAAGAGACAAAACGGGAGGTGTTGCCACCGTTCATCCGGTCGGATGACCCCCAGAAGATCTACGTGGAGCCTTGGAAGCAGCACTAAGCACCAGCCCTCCTGTTCCGTTTCTCTGGCCAGCCGAAACTTTACAGCTAAAGCTCCGAAGAACAACCACTTTCAGTTAGAGCCCTTCTTGCTCAGGGTGCCGACCGAGGGTATTCCAGTCCAGTAGGTTATAACTTATGAAAGTCTCTTGATGTACGTCCCCGCAATTTACCAGTGTATTGTAGTATATCATGGTGCGCAAGCTTTGGCCAGGACGGCTTGCAGAGCATCGTGTCTGATGAGGCTCTGGAAAACGAGGAAAGCCTGCCAGCTGAAGGCCACTTCGCCGACTTGACTTGAATTCCCTATCATAAAGTACGTCAGGCTTTGAGAGCCTGGGTTCTAAACAACGGTTGGTTGTCTATGAACGTATTGAGTTGCAGCCTGTTGAGCTAGGGAGAGCTGGGTCGTTGAAGCTCTCTGATTGACCCTGTGGATGTTTGGTTAGGCTTGATTCTCAAGGCGAGGATATGTCAAGGAATAGGCAGACACGAAGTGAAACAGACACGTATCTTCATGAGATGCGGGTTTCAGCGAATTCGGTAGGGTTCCCGCAGTGGGCCGGCTAGAAACGAAACGTGTTTGCCGATGACGCAAACGACCTTCATCCCGGGCCATGTCGGTTGTGACGGGGCAGCAGTGGAGCCCAAAAAACTTGGAGCCTCATCTGCAGAGCCCTGCAGCAATGCTACCGATGCTCCCGAAGATCGAGAGGAGGAAGACTTGGAGAATGCGGGCATGATCGAAAAGAAGCAGCCGGGAACCGTGGAAGACACGGAGCCTCGCTCCTTTTGGATCGCCTGTGGTGTCCTTGTGCACTTGGCATGGGGCACCTATCCCGTCTTCGCTCGCTACATGCAGGTGATGTTGCACATGGACGGCTTGCTCGTTCTCATTGTGGCAAACTTGGTGTCCTTCGTTGTCGTCCAGACCGTCACTTGCCATGGCTTGGGGGATAAGGCCGGAAGGAAGGTCGGGATGATGTATGCCATGCTCATAACTGGCCGAGGAGTCACAAATATGTTAACCAGCAAGTTCACGATTGCGTTGTACACGGGCATCGTGACCCAGTTCGCCCCCTTCATAGTTGCAGGGGTATCCTGGCTGGCCTTGGGAGACCAACTCCCACGCTGCATCCTGCCATCGCTCATCATCTCAACCCTGGGTTCGCTGTTCGTCGTGCTGGGCCAGGCTGATGCAGGTGTGTCGGTTTTTTCCGTCAATGATGGCATCGGGATTGGAATGGCAGTTGTCTCCATCTGTGTGAGCGCCGGGATCCGTGTGACGATGAAGGTGTCAAGCTCGTCGCTCTCTGGTTTCATGCTGAATTCCTGGCAGTACATGAGTGCTGTTCCACAGGTGCTCCTGGCGACAGTCCTAACACCTCCGGCAGCCTGGGTGGAGACAATGCATTTCTCATCGCATCAGCTGGTGGTGCTTGGTGCTTTCATCCTAGTGCTGCCGCTGGCCGCGAGCTACGGGCAGGTTACTTGTGTTCGCAAACTTGGGCCATCTCTGGATGCTTCCATTCAGCCAGTGCGGTTGCTCTCGACGATTGCCGGAGGCTATCTGGTGTTAAATGAGCCTGTGAAGACAGCCACTGCCTGGCTGGGACTAGCAATCATCGTGATCACCCTCGTCGTGTACTTGGCACTGCAAAACAAGCCAGCGGCAGCACCAACTGAATCCACTCCACAGGCCAGTGCGAAATGAAGCATGCATCGCAGTCTAAGCGCCTTATTTCACTCTCTGCTCCCCAAGCAGTTTTCCATGAGAGCATCAGCCATGCGATGCACAGTGGCTTCACGTGAGCAGTCAGGATTCGCGAGTCCAGCATGACATCGTCCCGGATTGTTGTGCTAACCGACAGCTCGCAGAGCCACAAGCGTGTACAGTGTACAGCCCCCTTTCGGAACTCAAGCGCTGAAGAGCGTGCACTACATGCCACTTACAACGCGAGATGCTGTGCTTGTGCATATACTTCTGTAGCCTGCTGTGAATACCAAAGTACGACGATGATCATTTACGGCATCTTATGCCATACTCCAATCAGTATGCGGCATTGGTCTACTGCAGGCCTGTGCTTGCTTAGGTTGTACGGTGTTACGCTACTGTGCAGTGTCGCATCATGCTTACATACAGGTTTCAGGGCTCGGCCCAGGGCTTAAACCAGCCCGGATCTCCCAGCATTTGGCATGCAATACAATGTAATTGATGTGACACCACGGCCTGACATTGTATGTATTTTCTTGTATCAATGTACAATATGTATGTACGTACATACATATATATATATGTGTAGATTTATGCGTACACTTCTGTATATATATATATATATATGTGCACTTGCCTTTCTGCATATGTGTGTACCTGAATATCCAGCAGTATATGTTACATGCTATGCGCTTACATACTACGTACTACTATACTCTACAATTTTGAGTGTACGCTATGTACTCTGTTCTATGTGCCTTGCTCTACATAGTAAATATGGAATGTGGTATATAGGGCATGTTCCATATCATGGAGTACATGTTGTATCTTATATAATATATTATATAGTTGGCAGTAGATATAACTTAGTATAGAGTATGTAGTTTACCCTATACAGTATATAGTATACATTTGTTGCTTTTACTACATAACCACCTCGTAAAACTGTTTATGTTACGTTGCATGCTGCAATATGCCGCACAATTTAGAGTATGTGCCATTCACTGTTCATTGTATATAGTATTTCTACCTGTTATATGTCAGATATGTTGTTATATGTCATGTTTTCTAGGTTTCTCTGTATGTACATATATATATATATGTGTGTGTATATATACACCTACTACAATATAGCATCAGAAGGTGTAGTCGAGAATGGTGCAATGTAACAAACTTGTTTATAATACCATGCCATACGGCGAAACATAATCTACGTTAGCAAGTGGTGACAGTGTGACATAACGTAGCATAGTGGAATAGGCGGCAATACAGAGTAATATCATATGTTATAGTATAAGGTATCTGTAACACTGTTTTTCTATTATGCAACATTATTTTGTGCTGCTTGTTGCATGTTTGTCTTGCATGATCTGATTCATCTCCGCAATGTTTGTTTGTTGTCTGCTATGTATTGAATGCAATTTAATGCTATGTATTCTTCTGTTGCATGCATATGTATATACCTTTATGTATATACATACATCTAACATGTACGTCTATGTCATGGATTTTTTGCTTTCTGTTTGGGGCTTCAAACCCTAGCTGCGCAAATTCAGAACTGTGCTGGGGGATTATTGAAACCGAAACCAGCCATACCTGATGACCTCATTTAGGCTTTCTCATGAAAGGGGTGCTGCTGTTGTGGTGCAGATCAGGTCTGGAATCCCCTTTGGTCTAGGATCGAGCCGGACAGGATCCGCACGTTGGCCAGGCAAACGAAGGAGATGGAAGCCGAGTACGTACATGGCCACGAGATGTTCTCCGACCCGCTGAGAATGCCCGAAGAACTCCCCGCAACGCCCCAGTCCAACATAGGCTTCATCCCATCAAAGCGAAGAATCTCCAACGCTCAACACTGTGCTCCGCAGGTATTTTGGGCCTCGTGGCGACCAAAAAAACCAACGACGTGGTGGGACTAGGCGAAATGAAGGCCAGGCTAAGACTCCGATGGCTAAAAGGTGTTTTGGTTTCATACAGACAGTGCACCCTCACGTCTGAGTAGATGTGATTGTTTTCACTGCTGCATGGTCTTCCAAGTTGTACCGTGCTAGAGGTTATCGCAAGAGCAATTGCTGCACACTCCATGCTACAGCGTATTGTGGCAAGCAGCAGTACATTCGTTGGTTGTATTGTTGCGTTTTCTCAGGTGTTAGCATCACGCCAGTTTGTTGGTCCATGGCGGTACTCGCATATGTTCGACGGCAGGAATCGCGACGCTGAAGCAATTGCCGAGGGACGAAGGTTTTTCTAGGAAGTTGGTGCGCAATCTTGTTTGTGTGCTGCTGTCAAGTGTCCAGTCCACAGGGTTCAGGTTTTCAGGCCGGATGCCTCCGGACGTTAAGCCCCTTAATCATCAATCAACATGAAGACTTGTCTCAGTTGTGAGGGCTCGTATCCCGTTCGGGAGATGATGCCGCAAACCCTATAGGTTCTAAGTATGGACATGCAGATGCCCTCGAGACTCGAGCGCCAGGGGAAGGAGATCTGCGGATCTGCCTTGGCTTTTGCTGTGCTCAAAGCCCGTCATACGCAAGGGGCCGGCCCAGCCGAGAACCCGCAACATGGCCTGGCCAAGGGCAGGGTTTAGGGTTTAGGGTTTAAGGGTTTGAGGGTTTAGGGTTTAGGGTTTCTGAGGGTTTGCAACGGTTTCGTGTTTCAGGCATGTTGTATGACTGCGAGAACTGTAGAACACGAATTTGTTCGGTAATGTACCCTCATGCTGCGAGAGGACAAGGGCACATCACTACGTTTATACAGCTTCAAGAGTGTGGGCCTTGGAGGGGGCACAATCCAGGTGCCTGAACCTTACGTATAGGTACGTGACAGAACTCCAGCATGTGGGGTTTAGTAGAAGAATGTAGTGTAGTACATCCTATCACAGTGCACGGGTATGAAGATGCTGCAGTAGTAAAGAAACACCGTGCATTGCAGCTGTATCCGGTGGACTGTCAGCACAGAGTGTGGCAGGCCACCGTCTGCTGTAGTATAGATATGCGTGGATGTATAAACTGGCGTGCACTGCGTGTCGCTTGCTTGTCCTAGTCTTTTGCTGCGACTACGGGACATCTTCTCTCCCTGAGGAAGATGTTCGCCAAGAAGCTCGGGGTGCTCAACTGGCTCGTCATCCTTTGCAACAAGGACTGTGTTCCTCGGTTTCTGACGCTAGAAGAGACTTCTGAGGCCTCCAAACAGCACTATGTTCTACTCGAAAGCCCGCAAAAAGAGCTTTCATGCCTTGTTGAATATCCCTTACACCTGATCTCTCATCCAACTTGAGTACAACTATCACTTCCGACTTGTTCATGTTGGGTGAGACGTGGCCTGTAGACAACTCAGCCCAGTGAGAGAACACAGGTCTTATAGGGCTCAGTACAAAGCATCTGCGAAACGCGCCTGGCCAGGCCCAGCGGAGTGAGCTTTAGCCATAACCTACCTGGCAAAGCTGTTCTGAGATCCTGTAATGTCTCGTGTACGGCTACAGTCAAAGACCGGCACTTAATCTTGTGTATTAAACTCCGGCAGCATGCAACTGCAATCGGCTCGCTTCATTGGCGTCTGTCCACGACGTTGAACCCCTCCTGAGCCCGCTACCACATGCCCAGGATCCCCCGAGAGCGAGAATGCCACAAAGTCCAGATATCAGAACTCATGACAACTAGGTTTCAAGCCCCGACATCTTGAACCCACATTTCTCCAGAACACTAAGAGCCAGTGGCTTGAAGCGCCGAAGCCCCGAGCAACAATACCAGCAGAGGTCCCTAGGCTTGATGGTCAAATTTTTTTTAGCCCTGATGTGCAGGACTGGAGGAAGAAAAACAACGTCACCAGCAAAAACTGTGCTACGTTTTTGGGGTTTGGCCCCTCGGCGAGGCTTCGCATTTGAGATGCAAGCTTAAAGGGTGTTGCGTTGCTGTCTTCGGTGCGATTTCCGAGGTGAGCCCTTACCAAGGCATAGCATCACGAGCTGCTACTATCTACCAGCACGATCTGCTGTCCCGTCTAGCCCTGTATGCGACATAGCTTTGGCAAGGGGCGTTTGCACTTGCAAACTCGGCAAGGTATTATTTGCAACTGAGTTTCACCCTCCTTTCCTGGTGCATAAATCCACACCTGTCATGACATGCATGTAGAGACAACGGTAGCTGTGCACTACCAAGCATGACTGCTGAGTCCATCGCGGGTGGCCTGTAGTATGTCACACCACGTATACCTTGATAGCTTACGGTATAGAGCAGCAGGATGCAGTTCTGTCGCAATGTTCTCCTCAGGAGTCTGTTTCGATCTTGCAGGGGCTTGATATGGGTTGATTCATGAAGAATCAGTGGTTCTGCGGTTCACATTGGCCCCGCAATTAAAGGGCATGCGAATGGTGTGTGTGTGTGTGTGTGCCAACCTCTGTTACCAAGAGTGACTTGAATATGTAAACAGCAGGGGCATGTTGCATGACATCACGGACCACGTCCAACGAAGCTGCCTGAGCCCATGAGACCCAGAACTTGGCCAGTTCTGTGTACCTGCATGTGACATGGCAAGAGTCATAGGGAGCCATGGCAGGAAGTTCACCCCTGCACCTATGCATGGTTAGTTGTGTATGTATGCATGTATACCTTTCCAACTGCCTATCTATCTATCTATCTATCTTTCGTTCTTTCTACAACTTGTGGACAGGTCTGCATGACATACTGTGCATGCCACAAATCTTTCGTGCAAACATCCGCACGCCCTGCCTGCGTCCTTCGCCTTGGCAGGGTAGTACAGTAACTCAGGCAATGTGGACCCTTCCGATGCAGTGAAGCAGCCGCTTGGCAGAAGACGGCCTATTTGCCGGGGTACCTTATCTTGGGGTCTTTATAATGGGGATCCTACTATTTAGCGTAGTGTATTAGGGTCCCTTATTCTGAAGCTCTTGACTCAGAAGAGCACTCGCATTGCACCTGAACCAACGATGAAGTGCTCGTGTTTTGGACAGTGCTGACTGATTCAAGCTTGGTGTGGCTTCAACGGCTATCGGCTTATGAAGTAGGCCCGGGTGTGAAGCCTCTTCGGCGTCAGTGGCTTCAGTTGATCCAAGGTACACGTGTAGCAGAGTCTTCATGCCACCCCCGCCTGCCTCGGCCTTTAGACCGTGGCACCGAAACTGTCGGCTTGCATCGTTTCAGGCTGTTCAAGTATTGCTTCGACCCAACGGTGGGCGGCCGTGGAAAACGCACTTTCAATCAGCGAAAGGGACTCTGTGCGACGATCATCTGGGCGTTGCAGCTTGTCTGCCGCAATGTGTTCACATGCTTCAGGACATGTAGAGAAGCCGTAGTTGCTTTTTCAGAGGAGCTTTTCGGTAGACCGTGACCCATGGTTTGTGTTTCCGATTTCGAAAGGAAGAGCTGCATAGAGTCGAAACAGAAATTAGCAAAGAGTCGCCCCGAGCTTCCAAGGCATCTTACGCCTGGTCTCTGGATTGATGTCACCAGCCAGGGTGCTGCCGAGTTGACGAGCGAGAAAAATGTCCAAACGGCCGGAAGGCGGGAAAGGTGCTTATGTGAGCTTGTACTCTGTCAGTCACTGAGTACTTATGCATCTCCGGGTTTATTGTGTGTCTCGAGGTACATTGGCTGCAAGGTAGAGCCCAAGAAGGAGACAGATGGAACATCAAGTCTCCGCGTTCCTGGGACGAAGCCATAGCCCCTTCCGTTTAGTACGAAGGTACCAGTCAGCCGCGGTCGTGCATTGAGGTGGTTGCTGAACACGAATCAAAATGGTGAGTTCAAGTGGGCGACTGAGGTTATTCTAAAAGGCCCTCCCAACTTCGACGAGCGTGCGGCTGCGAAGGGAGTCGGGCGAGGAGCTAGAAAGAAGAGATGATCCATCCATCCGAGACCGCGCTGCAAATCATCACCGCCTGCCCGCCAGTAACCACCGGTATTGCTGCGACAGCTGCTATCACGAATACTCGTACTCTGATTTCCTCATATTCTTTATGTTGCTACTATAGCACTGTTGCAGCAGCTTTACAATAGAATGCAGTCGGCTCCACCATCAGCATCAGGGTCAACTTCCTTCGTCAACCAAGCCCCGGGGCTCCACCATCAGCATCAGGGTCAACTTCCTTCGTCAACCAAGCCCCGGCAACCTAATTCATCACATTCCCACAATCCGTCTACCACCATCATCATCATCACTAGCATAGCTACTACGAGTATCATCCCTCGCCATCATTCCAAGTGTCTGTGGGTTTTCATTCCAGCAGGCAGGCGCCGCCGAGCATAGTCGCAAGCAGAAGCAGGACATAAGGATCCACCATGCGGAAAAAAACCAGGCACTACTTTCTAGTAGTTGATCGTTAGGGCGGCTGAGATTTCGATTTGCTCCCGGTCCTGACATTGTTACCTGGCTGCCAAAGTGATGCTGGCCAGCCTGTGTTTCACCCGATCTTGGCGCACATGGGGGTTTCCGAAAATTGGGGGTGCCTTATTTTGGGGTCCTAAAATAAGGATCCTACTATTTAAGGGTGCTATATTAAGGTCCCCCATTTAAATCATTTTCGACCACTCCCACAGGGCCAGGCATCAAAACGATCTGCCGGTTGGTTGTGCGCATGAAGGTTGAATCTTGCCACGGCGCTGTGTGGTTCTGCCGCTTTGCCTGAGGACCTCTGTGCTGCCGCGAGGCACTTGGGCTACGTCGGTGTGAACCAGGAAGTTCATGGCTTAGAGTCAAGCGGCCTTCGCGGTGAAGAGATCTGCACTTCGAAAGCAGAAGGGCGTGCGAGAAGCAAGTGAGGCAACAATTCAACTCGCCAGCCAGCTGTGAGAAACCCAGAGTGGCTTCGGGTTGACTACTTCCTCGTGGCGGCTGGGGAAGCTGGCATAGCCCGAGGTCAGAATATCATACTCTGGACCTGGAAGAGTTCGTGGTTTTCTTGGAACAGTATACCATGCAAGAACAGGCCTGGCTGAACTGAACATGGGGGTGTTAAAGCCTGTTGCGCACCATGACGCGCGTCCTGCAGCATGCGGATTCCATGCGCAGGCAGAGATAGAAAGAATATTCGCCAACTACGCTGGCAAGTTCTCGCAGAAGGCCAGGGGACTCAAAGTTCTGTGAGCAAGAACAGATCCAAAGCTTTCAGGTTCCTCTGCGGGCTGTTCCTGCAATGGCTCACGACCTTGGTGCAGCCCCTATGCCAGTCCAGAAGGGAGACGGACTGCGGAAGTAGTAAGATCCTACAGCAACAGCTGTTGCATGATCATTTTCGCATCATAGTGACCCGATCTAGTCTAGTAGTTTTCTGCTGCCTCAACACATCGCGTCGGCTTCTTCGAAATCCGTCTGGGCGGCATGTGGAAGGAATCGCAACACCTCTGATAGTGTACACCTTCATTCAGGGTTTTGGAGAGCCCGGTGCCACGTCTCGGTGCCGGATCCAGCTCACGACCCGGATCTCAGGTCTTACGTCCTTGCAGGCAGCTATTTCCGAGTCCTTCGACGCAGCCCAGCTGTCTTCCCACAAGGCTAGCAGCTGCTTTTGTGGTTGCAGGTCCTGGGCTTTGGACTTGATGTGAAGGCGCTGTCAGTGAACCAGCTGCGGGCATTCCTGGCGGCCCATCTGTCCTCGGAAGGCGGGCGCTTCCCAACAACTCCAGAGATGTCTCGGAGATTGTAGTGTGTCCAAGATCGGTGCAGAAGATCTGCTTTCGCACATGCTTATCGTGGCATATCCCGATACACGGAACCGCGCAGCTAGCATAGCAGTATATGAAGCATTGCTTGTGCAGCAGAAGAATTGACAGCTCGAGCGCAAGACTTGAGCTTCCCTGGAGGCTACACCAAGGAGGAGCGCGACCGTGCGCGTCAGGCCTTTGACCAAGCGCGTGAAGGCAGGGCTTGTCGTGACAGCAACGACCATTTCTTTCAGAACAGCAGAACAAAAGCCGGGCGGGCAAGTTCCAGCCGTCTTTGTGACGGTGCTGGGCAGTGGCAGTTGACCTGATGAAGCGAACCGCTTCTATTGACTCTTCGGTGTCCGTAGGGCATGCATCCAGTGTTCGACTTTGTTTGCCTTGGACTCTGGACTGTTTGCTGCAGCATGCTGCAGAACAAACTCAAGTGCACCAGGAAAAGCCGATCTCCCACTGCGCTGTGTGGGCGATGCTATGGTCCTCCTTTGCTCCGCTTGTGACATGGGATGTTCAGCTTGTGCAGCTGCTCAAATGCCAGGCCCTTTTTCGAGGGGCAGATGCTCGCCAAGAGTGGGACGATATATGGCACAGGCACGTGAAGCTTTCAGTGCAAGGCGTTGAACAATCTCTCTTTGAACCCTCCTGCAAATCTCAAGAAGGAGCGGGTGAGGAAGCACTGTGGCTTGAACTCAGACAGTTGGACCTTGAAGTGACCTTGAACTTGTTCGGACAGTCAGAGCCCCGCAGTCGGTATAAAATCGCATGCGAAGTGGAGCCTGTAACAAAGACGCGTCCAGCCGTTGCCCATGGCTTTTCTGCAAGCATTGCCTGGCGAGCTTCTCACCATTCCGGAGGACTTGCGACATTTGTTCGAGTGCAACAAGACTTGGTAGTCTCCAGCATCTCTGCCGCCTCAGCCACCACTGCTGTCGATGCTGCTGCTCCCATGTGTGCTCATTGGACTGTGGTGATGATGAAGACAATGAAGACGATGATCTCCAATGATGGCAGATGCCACCACCGACGACGATGACGACGAAGAACTCGTGCAGAACTAGGAGTAGGAGGAGCAGCAGCTGCATTGCTGGATATAGAAATTTCAATCGGGGTAGTGCCACCACAATACACACATATCTCTCCTCCGCTGCTAGTCGTACTGCTGCACTACCGCTGCAATCCGCGACAAATGCCGCTGGTGCTTCTGATAAAGTGCCAATAAGTGATAGCACCACAGCGTGATGGTATGGTTAGAAGGAGAAGGGCAACTGTTAGTACGTAGAAGCCCGTAGCCAGATATCGAGAACCAGGAAGGCAGAAGCAACAGGCGAAATGACCAGCGACAGCATCCTCCCTCCACTATCAGCCACAGAGGCAACAATTCGAACACTAGCAACAGCAACACTATCCCCCCGCCCGGATCTCTCCGTGTAGCCCCGATGGGCCAGTCGAGGATGCGATCTGTCCTATATCCCAGCAGGTCATGGAGGCGCCTCTTTCTGAAGAGTAGAGGCTATGCTTTTTGCAGGGTTTCCGGGCTCTGACTGCGGTTCTGGTGGCTCGCCGCTGTAGCTATGACCAGCCCGGAAGTCAGGTGCCCTTTCCTTCAAGAGAACAGATGACAGACGAGACTTCCGTTTGCATTTCCACCCTTCAGGATCCAGTGGTGTGCGCAGATGGACACTCCTACGAGAAGGACTTTATACAAAAGTGGCTTGCGAGACTTGACACGAGCTTAGTAGTTTATCCGGTGCACACGAAAACGTTAAACTAGCATTTGTGCTATCCTTGCCCTGTTCTCATCTGCACGTTTCGAGGTTGGGGAAGCGCTCCAGCCCGAAGACCAACATGAGTCTGCCTCATACGACGCTGATACCCAACGTCAACTTACGCAACATCATCCAGTCCATCAGGGTACGGATGCCGGCCATTCAGTCCGAGCAGATTAAAAGCATCAAAGAAATGCAGGACTTGGAGGCTATCGTTCGGTCACTGATGGAGGATCAGGGAAAACTCGCTGTGACATGCATTGACCCTACTCGCTCACCGGAGTCATCACCAGCTGCATACTGCTCCTCACCAAATGCGCCGAATGCGCCGAACATACCCAAGCTGCCGCCACCAGACCGTGCAAGCATGGAAGAGCCGATCCCTGTTCTGCTGAGCCTCCTGCGGCACGAGTCCAAAGAAGTTAGTGAGCGGGCCCTGGGTTTGATCGATGGTTTGGTGGCCGCAGACCCCCGGCACAGAGATGCAGTTTGGCATCACGGTGGTATTCCACTCATTGTCAGTTTGCTTCGGGGTGGTTCCTCGGAACAGCTACAACATGCCAGCACACTGCTGCGAACCCTCGCTAGTAGCCAAGCAGAAGCGCAGATGGCCATTACATGGGCTGGGGCCATCCCTTTGCTGGTGGAGCACCTAGACCACGACTTCAGCAAGGTGCGCGTAGAGTCTGCCAAAGCTTTGTGGAGTCTGGCGCAAGGTAACATGGACAATGAGACATCCATCGTGGAGCATGGGGGCATCAAGCGTCTCGTGGTACTCTTATCCGGGGGGGCCACAGATGCCCGCGACTCTGTCCTACACCTGCTTTTGAATTTAGCTTCGCACGACCCACTGCACCAGGACGATATTGACGGTTATACGGCAAGCCTGCACCTGTCCGGGATGGCTGAACGGTGGTGATAGCTGAAACCGAAAGCTTTGCAAACGCTTATCATCCTGCTAGGTCTGCTAGGTCAGAAGAGGAGTAGACTCTAAGTAGACGAAAGACACCTCGCAATGCGACTTGCTTCATGATTTCGCGTCATGTTGCACGCTTGTATTCCACCTGCAGGACAACATCACCCGTGCAGGGGCCATCCCACCCCTAACAGAGCTGCTAAACGACGGAAACCTGCGGCAGCTGGCAGCAGCGGTTCTGAAGTCCTTGGCGCGAGACCACGAGGACAACCAATCTGCCTCCTGTCCTTACGCAGGGCTTAGGAATGAGGCTTGCGGTTTCATTGCATAGGAGCTTCTCCCACGCGGTTTAAGAGCTTCTGTCACACAGGGGTGCATTCGCCCGGCGTGTTAAAGGCTTCCACCCATATCACAAGCTCGGCGTGCTCTCGTCTTACTGACCGCTGGCCCACTCGTAGCTTCCGAGGCCATCGGTGCTACTAGCGGCACCATTCAGAAGCTGAGCCTTGACCAAAGAATTGCAAGGCTTTTTTCCAGTTTTCCAAGTTTGTCTGTGCCTTGCGCCTTGCTGTTCTACATGCTGTCGCACCGCTGGAGGTCTTTAGAGTGGTCGTGTGTCCTGTCGATGTGAGTGCATCCTGGATGCCAGAAAGTGCTAACATCATGTTGGCAAGAGCTGGGGCCTGACTTGAGGATTCAGCTCCTTTCGGACGAGTCAGCAGCCATGCGCGAGTCGGCTGCCGGTGTGCTCCATGTCCTCGTTGCAGGCGGGTCGCCACCACTGTCGGCACGAGTTCATGACGAGATCGGTTCGCATGTGGCAGTTCCCTGCGGTGTGTTGGGCGTTGGGCAGGCGGCCATGCCAAAAATGTGGCAACTGTGTCTCGAAGTGGCGGCATACGGCCATGTGCCTTGGCAAAGCGCAGCCTGAAAGACGAGAGCTGTGTTAGCCCGACACCCCAGTCCAAACTCTTAACACCTTGAGCCTTGAAACGCTGACCTCCAATCTTCACTCAGAGACACGCTCCCCAAATCCTTGCAGTGGGTACAGACTCCGACACCTTACTGCTTCTCAAAGCTTTCCAAAGCGTAGAGAACTCCCTTGTGGGGTTGGAACAACGCCCTGCAATAAGTCGCTTCAGGCATGGAGCTCCTCAAGGACGAGAATGCGGGAGCCCGTGAGGATGCCGCAGGCGTTTGAAGGAAGTCTTTCGGGGGCTTGGGCCGGTTGGGGCTTCGGGCGGAGGAGTCGTTGCCTTTTTTTTGCGGCTTGTGGAGTGTAATGAGGAGCCGAAACCCTAACCCCATGCCTAAACGGCGCCCACGCCGGGTACCTCTCCCCGATCTAGATGCTCACCGAAAATCAGAGGTGCCTCATTTTGGGGTCCTTATGTTTTCGGAACCCCCCATGCAGCTGACAGGCAGTTGCTTGTCCGACTCTAGTCAAGTCAGCGACACTCCCTGCAACGCGAAACTAAAACTCAAGCCCTTAGATCCTTTGGCAATTTGCCTGAGCTGAGCCCTGAGCGATCCAGGGGTCCTTGCCGCCTTGGCTAAGAATGCCGACAATCGAGTTCACATGGCGGACCTCGGGGCGATCCCGTTGCTCATAGAGCTACCGGGCTCGTATTTTTCTAGGCGTGGGGTCGCCATCCGATTGAGTCGGAGACTCTACAATCCCTTCTTGCCCAGTACCATCGAGCTCTAATTAGATCTACTAACTTCCGGAAGTAGTGGGCAGCCCGTGTAAGTTCTGGAATTCTCGGCTCCTGACCAGGCTTGTGCAAGATCAAGTCGGGGCGGCCGCAGCTGCCCGCCCCTCGAATGCATTCTCAAAAAGATTCTCGGAAATATGATCCTACGAGGGGATCGATCGCAGGACGGTGGTTCTTCGCTGTCATGTCGCCTGTCCCAAAGTGCGCCAGGCAAGTATGCTGCCACTGCCCTGGGCGAGCTGGCAGTCCGCAACTCTAAAAACAAGGAGGTTATCGGCAAGACAGGGGGCATTGAGGCGCTGGTGGAGCTACTCAGAGATGGCCACAGGGCCGGAAAGAGTCAACCATGTTCTTGGTTTGTTTTTTTCGTGCGATTTTGGCCACATGTGTCCAACAGCCGTCCAAACGATTTAGTGAGCTTCTTGCCGTCCTATAAGAGCTTGCGCCGTCCTATTTCGCAGCGCCCAAAGCAAGCTGGCAGTGGCAGAGGTGACCACCAAGCGCGAGGGAGAGCAGCGTCTGCGCTCTCAGAACTCTGTCAGCTCAGCGACCACAACAAGCTGTCCATGGTCGGGGCAGGTGCCATACCGCTGTGCCTTGCCTCAATCGCCATAGAATCATAGAAGCTTAATCGCCGCCCTGCCGTCCGTGGCCACGTGGTCTGACAGTCGCAGCCAGCCCCTTTCCAACTTCACCCCGAAGTGTTTGCCAACTCAGACTGGTCGAGCTGCTGCGGGAAGACTCGACCAAGAAGCCAGCGAAAGCCGTGCTCGCAAGCCTTGCGGGTGAATTCGAGGCCTCCTTGATCAGCTTGTGAGCGAATTAAACTGAGGTGGATCTTGCACTGAATGTTTGGAGGAATGTCAGCTTCCTTAACACGAGCAACGCTTATTAAATCAATTTATGAGAGCATCTCTCGAGGCATGTCAGCAGTAACATGAGCAGTTCCATGAGAGTGCTGCTGCCAGGCCAACAAGAAAGCCATTCAAGAAGCGGCTGTGGCAGCGAAGGTTGACCTGCTAGCTGCAGGTCTCAAGCTGTGACCGTGTCGTCCAGGCGAGGTTCTGTATTCGGTTCTCCTCTAGTCTCACATAGTCTCACACTCGTTCTAGCAGATATTGGTACCAGCTACCTGACAATTCACGACGAGTATTCCGGACGGCATTCGTTCGGTAGCAGCTTGTGGGCTGGTTTCCCAGCAAAGCTCATGCTCCGTTCTCGGTACGGCCAAGCAGCTGCGCATTGCAGACGCAGCGTGGGGCTTGATTGCTGTTCAGAGGAGGCAAAGCTTCACTGCCAATGTCAATGCATCATGCCGACGCTGCATCACCACACTCACTTGGTTCTCCTGTTCGTGCTCTCAGAGTGTTCATCCAGGGCGCGTGCCTTGTTCATGTCTGCCTGTTGAGGCGGCAGCGCAAAGCCAAGCTGGCGGGCCATCATCCGCTGCCTAAAGCGTGCCTCCCCTAAACGAAGACGGGCTGCCTCTCGAGCAGCCAAAGGTGCTGTTCGATCGAGGCTTTCTGCGTCGATGCTTCATTTTGATCAGCATGTCGGGAGCTCCACAGTGCTTGTCTCTAAACATCTTCCTAGCCTCAATGGTCGTTCATGTGGTTCCTCCGCACTCTCTGTATAGCAGCAGCACGAACAGCGGCGAACCACGTAGAGCTCCCGATGGGACGGCTGAAGCCATGTAAGGTACTATCGCCCGTGCTTCGCTTGTACATACCAAAACTCTGAGCTCCTCGCTTGGGTCTTACGCTGACCATGCGCCCAAAGCTTAAGGGGAAAAGTAGGGGTAGCTGCAACCTGCGGAAGGTGCTTAGGCCCCCTGAGTGCAGGAGGCGGAGATTCTCAGATTTCCGGACCCCACAAACCCAAAACTCGCAGTCCCCAAAACCCAAAACTCGAAGTCCCCAAAACCCAAAAGGTCGCAGTCACCAAAACCCAAAGCTCCAAATCTTGGAAGCCGAAAAGCCAGGCTTGGCAGCCATGTGTCCAGCTCGCAGGATGAGGGCGAGCCGGTGCAGGTCGGGGGGAAGCAAGGAGTGAAGGGGCATCAAAATATGTATATATATATATATATATATATATATATATATATATATATATAATGTATACATATGCACATGCACATACACATACATGCATGCATACATACATATATATATATATAGATATAGATATAGATATATCCTTCTTTGAAGCAAGAGCTCTGAGATCTTATGTCAACTTCGGACACTTTGGCAGGTGGACGAGTCCCGGTCAGGGCCATCGGTGGATTTCCACGAGTTTCTCGTTTGGGCGCCGGACTCTGTGCGAAGATGGTTGAGGGTTGTAGGTTTGAGGCCTCGGGGCGTTGGGGCTCAAGCTGTGGGATTTCGAGTTTCGAGCTTGTCATTCCGGGCCGAGGGCTGCCTTCTCCAATGGCCCAGTGAGTGGCAATAGCATCTTGCAACATCAGATCTTGATATCGATCAGCGCGACTCAACCCTGTCCTAAGCCCTAAACCCTGGCTGTGGAGCCAGACCTAGGGCCTATGCATCTTACTCACAGAGATGTTTAAATATGCATCTGTGCCTAAGAGATGATTAAAGATGCCTCTGCGCCTATGTACGAATAAATGGGTTCGGCATAAAACGATTGAGAAAACATGTGCATGAACCACAGATGCGTGAAGGCAGGAAAAACCTCGAAGCCCAGCAAGCTATGTGGGCAAGCCCCAGGTGTTAGCCGGTCGCATGCACGATGCCCAAACCGAGAACCCGAAACTTTAGGCTTTTAAGGTCCCTGATCCTTTCGAAATCCGTGATTCTGGTGCCAGTTGAAGCAGCCAATCTCGGGGTTAGGGTTTAGGATTCGGTGTTTATTGTTCAGGCTGTCGGTTTCGCTTGAAATTCTGAAGCCAAGAGACTCGGGTTTCTGAAGCCTGAAGAATCTCCGAAGGCCCGGCGCCTTGAAGTGCAGGACCGGCAGGGACAGAAAGGGTTGCTCTCTTGAGAAGAACGGATCTACAGTGTTTGCGCGCATCTGCCGTGGGAGAGTCTACAGTGCTCGGTTGGAAAGGAGTTGGCACCGATCCGAGACGGTTTCTACCGAGTTGACAAAGACGCCGACGGCATGGTGTCTGCAGGCACGAAACTCTCTGGAGTGTGTGTCTGCGTAGCTCAATGGTGCAGAAGGTAAGATCACCCTTGAGCAGACATGTGGCAGGAGAATTCCTCGACATGATCCCTTCAGAGCTGACACGACCTGAGACTCGGGTTCGGTGTCTGCCTGGACGAGTGGGATGAGATGCACTACGCATTTCACTGCATGCCGTCTTACAGTCCGGTCATGTCCAGGTCCTTGGTTTTCAGTTCGAAGCTGTCACAGATCCTGTTGGAAGCGGGCAGCCAAGTGCCGGCTCCAATTTTGAGCTCCTTGCAAGCCATGCTCTTTCACAAAGTTGGGGCATGTGGTGTACCACGAGTCCCTGTCTCTCTCAGGGCGGCATGGCACCAGGGCAGCTGCTGAGCTTCGATGATGCCGTCCGGGTTCTGCGGAATATACGCCAGGGTCCTCAAGACGTGTTGACCAAGAGAAGCTGTGCAGCGCTCCGCAATTGCTTGAATTGCGGCTGCAGGTAGCACGGGCAATCAGACCAAGCAGGAAATCAAAGAGTTCGAGGAGGCTGTGGGGGGGTCTTTGCAGATCCGCAGTGCCATAGATCGTAAACAGCGACGTGATTTTGCTTTTGCAGGTTTTCAAGCTGTTCGACTCGGATAATTCTGGCAAGATGGATGTTACGGAGATGGTGGATGTGTGCAGCCCCGAGATGGGAGAAGACTTTGAGAACAAGTGCACCGAGCACCAATAACAAGGGGACCAGCAAGCTCAGTGGAAAAATATGACAACACTCGAACAGCAGCACAGACAGGATGGTAGCAAGGCCGAGGCCTTGCTCACCTGGACTCTTGGACCCGTAGGAATATATCGAGGTTCGTTCGAGGCTTCGATCTCTTGATGAAAAAGAAGGCACCATCTGGTCGTGATGGCGCCGGCGACATGGTGATGATGATGGCGAGGGTGATGCCGATAACGATGAGGATGCCACTGCTCTCATAAATGGAACACGACCCGGAAGCGCAGTTGGAACCCGCCAAACTCAAACACGATGGCTGACGTTCCACCCCACCCACCCCCCCACCCCCACCCCCACCCCCACCCCCACCCCCACCCACACCCTCTGCTACTCTGATCATTGTCATGTGTGGCAAGGAATCGACACTCATCGGTTCTGTGCAGCATGCAGCCTTCCGTTGCCGGCTTCTGAGGTTGATGTACCTGGGCTACAATAGCACCCTGGAGACGACGCAGGAGCAGCTTGGACCAGGTTTTGTTCAGATGCTTCCCCTGCAACTGTGCCCTGTCGAGTTCTGAATGCTGTAGCTGGCTCCACAGGCCTGAGTGATGAGCCGAATCCTTATGGTGCGGTGAGAAGGGTGACATGGCCAAGGGCTGTTAGTCGGGAATGCCTTCTCACTGCCGCCACGGCTATAACCCAAGTCCGGTATCAGTAGCAGAAAGGGCGCTCAGGCAAAAACGATATAGCTTGGCTTCAATTAAACAAGCACGCCATTACATTGCACAGGCATTTCAAGCCCCTGGTGCTGCCATGGCAACTGCAGAAGCCCGTGCGCCTGCGTCGCTGACACTCAGCGACTCCCACGCCAGCGCTGCATCGCTGCCACTCTCCGCGTCCCAGGTGAGCTCGCGGACGTCGCAGAGTTCCCTGAGCTCGCTGGTGCGTTTGTGGGGTGAGTGGATCGGTCCTCGTCAGCTCTGGGCGGACATGCGAGACAGCCCACCCCAAGTCCAACTGCACAATGCAGAGGCGACAGGGCCGACAGGGGCTCCGCGGTTGCGGAGGAGTGCGCCACTACTTCAGGATGAAGAGGAGCTGTCGTCCCAGCGTTCAAAGCGACCTCGGACTGGCCCAGTGATCGTCGCGGCCGCAAATCTCGACCAGACGTCTGCTTCCAGTTCGACGGCCAGCAGTGTGCAGGCGGACTTAATGTGAGGGTTGATCTAAACCCCCTTCTCTTGACTTTGCTCTACAGTGGCGATTTAATCATATTGTCACTCTGGACATTGCCTTCAAAACATGGTGTGTGCGCAAGAGCGCGCAAGGGCGGGCGCAAGAACGCGCAAGGGCAGTAGATGTATGCTTTATGCAACATCTACGGGGCCGTCGACTTCTTCCTCGACATCTGGTTTCAGGGTTGATGAGGTTTATGGTTGCGGGTTTCCGGTTTAGGCCCCGTAATTCCTCAACTCTCCAAACCCAAGCCCTGCGGCGGTGAATTTTCTCAGGCATAAATAGACTCCAAAGATGTGCGTTCCTCCGAATTCAGTTTTCGGTCATTGGTCATGATCATACGGGTGAAAAAAACCGTGTGCGCGCAAGAAGCACGCAAGGATGCGCAAGGGCGGGCGCAAGGGGTATTAAATGGTCACTCATTGGAACAATAATATCGATCAACCCCCATGTGGATCGATGCTTTTGTTTGGACTTCGAGGGCTTACTCGAATATCTTGAGCGCATGCGCGTTTGTTTTCGGTGTCTCGGCCCCATGACTTCCATGTTTGATGCATTTATCAGCTTGCGGTGTGTCCTCTGCATGAATTCGTGGCCGTGCTTATCCTTAACAATCTTAACATACTCCCGTGACATCAAGGGTTGCCTGAATTCCACTTTCCATGGGCAGAGTTTTCCAATGAGTCGTTGTGTTGTGTTTGGGTTGCACTACCGGCGTCTTAATATTTGGCTGGGTCCAAGGAACAAATGGCTTATGAAACACACAACTTGCAGTCTTGCAAAGCGGCTTCCTTGCGCAAATGTCGGGTGCCGGGTGTTACAAACGGCCTTTTGAGGTCACCGCAGTATGCAGATGTCTGGTGTGGAGCATGCAACGTTGGTTGCTGCAAGCCGCACGGATCAGAAGCCACACGATGCCTCACGAACGCGCTTTGGAAATATCGCTCGACGCGTCTGTGGTTACATGATGTTACATGTAGACGTATGCTTAGTAGACACACGCACACACATGGTCACGCGCTCCGAATCGTGGGGGGTCCTTGCAATTGAGATATGTTGGCTGTTTCGGTGGTATTGGCTTCCGGGAGTCGTATGAAGGGCGCGCGTCAAGCAGTTTTCGTCCGGTTCAGGGTGGAGTCTCTAGGCTGTATAGGGCTATACGCTTTGGAGTCAGGATGGCGTCGGGTATACGGTCAAGGGGTCGTCACGAGTTTTTCTGCCGTTGAATTTTGAAGACGACATTGCTCCCAAAAGCGAAACTGGCACCGTTGAGGAGCAGCATTCTCAGCCCAAACTTGCAGCAGTGCAACAGTGAATGCGGAAAACAGATACTGCACAGTACCACTCACAATGCCGTGCCCTGTACACGCCGACCCCGCATCACCAAATCCCAAAAACCTGCAACGAGCGCATACATGTAGCGCCGGTTCCATGCCGACACGCCCAAGTGCCGTCGTCCGACCACCTTCCCCCAAATTCCGAGATAAGCACCTGAAAGAGAAGCGCCTGATCCCAGCGTGCCCCCCAAACTTAAACTGCTTGCGTCACCATTGCTGGAGCGATCGCTCACCCAGCAAATGTCTGGCGAAATTTTCACGACTAGCATAGCATGCGACGGTGGCTCATCGTGATTTCTCGTCTTGGCCGATGCCAGCTGCCACCATTTAATAATGACTTGTAGTGCCCTTATCGCAAATTTCCTCCGTGACACGACTTGCTCCATGAAGGCCGCTGCTGCCGAAGGGCCTGGCCATGCTAGCTCTCTGACGGAGGCGGGCCGAAGTTTGCCAGATCTTTGCCTTGTGGAGCGCATGTTGTTGGCGATTTTTCTCGCGCAGGCATCTGCTTAGCCGTGGCTTCTGAGGGTTGTCGTGCTGTCCGTTTCCTTGAAACCAGCCCTGTTACGACAATCTTTCACTGGTGTACGGTCTGCCGAATGCTGACCGGCAGTGGGTTTGGAGTACAAGCGGGCGGCTGACGAGATCAACCCTTGATACCATAGACTTCGGTTTCTGCTCCAGATGTCAGGTGCAGGGCAGGTAGTGCCGGGCAGGGTGTCACAAGCAGCAATCAAGATCAAGATTCGGTATGTAGAATTGGCGAGCTTGCTCTGTTGCAGCAGCTTTTCTCCATGAATGTCGGGTGTGACAAAAGCGGATCTCAGGATCAACGCTCGGCAGTTACTGGCATGTAGACGCTGATGAGGGCATGTCGGACATGAAGTGCTCCGAGTTGCTTCAGAGATTATGTGGGGGTTTCGGAATCAACAAAGCAATTGAAGATATTTTGCCCGTTTCAGGAGTATCGGGGTTTCGGGAGTCAGGACTGTAGGCGTTAGTTCCGGTTTACGGCCGAGAGTGTCAAGCCGTCGTCACGAGTCTTTCTGAGGGTGAAGTTTGCGAAACAGGCACCGTTGAGGAGCAGCATTTTCAGCCCAAGCTTGCAGCAGTGCAACAGTGAATGCCGAAAAAACAGATACTGCACAGTACCAACTCGCAATGCCGTGCCCTATACACGCCGATCCCGCATCACCAAATCCCAAAAGCCTGCAGCGAGCGCATACATGTAGCGCCGGTTCCATGCGGACACGCCCAAGCGCCGTCGTCCGACCACCTTGCCCCAAATTCCGAGATAAGCACCTGAAAGAGAAGCGCCTGATCCCAGCGTGCCCCCCAAACTTAAACTGCTTGCGTCACCATTGCTGGAGCGATCGCTCACCCAGCAAATGTCTGGCGAAATTTTCACGACTGGCATAGCATGCGACGGTGGCTCATCGTGATTTCTCGTCTTGGCCGATGCCAGCTGCCAGCATTTCATAATGACTTGTAGTGCACTTCTCGCAAATTTCCTCCGTGACACGACTTGCTCCATGAAGGCCGCTGCTGCCGAAGGGCCTGGCCATGCTAGCTCTCTGACGGAGGCGGGCCGAAGTTTGCCAGATCTTTGCCTTGTGGAGCGCATGTTGTTGGCGATTTTTCTCGCGCAGGCATCTGCTTAGCCGTGGCTTCTGAGGGTTGTCGTGCTGTCCGTTTCCTTGAAACCAGCCCTGTTACGACAATCTTTCACTGGTGTACGGTCTGCCGAATGCTGACTGGCAGTGGGTTTGGAGTACAAGCGGGCGGCTGACGAGATCAACCCTTGATACCATAGACTTCGGTTTCTGCTCCAGATGTCAGATGCAGGGCAGGTAGTGCCGGGCAGGGTGTCACAAGCAGCAATCAAGATCAAGATTCGGTATGTGGAATTGGCGAGCTTGCTCTGTTGCAGCAGCTTTTCTCCAGGGATGTAGGGTGTGACAAAAACGGTTCTCAGGATCAACGCTCGGCAATTACTGGCATGTAGACGCTGATTGGGACATGTCGGACATGAAGTGTTCCGAGTTGCTTCAGAGATTATTCGGGGGTTTCGGAATCAACAAAGCAATTGAAGATATTTTGCCCGTTTCAGGAGTATCGGGGTTTCGGGAGTCAGGACTGTAGGCGTTAGTTCCGGTTTACGGCCGAGAGTGTCAAGCCGTCGTCACGAGTCTTTCTGAGGGTGAAGTTTGCGAAACAGGCACCGTTGAGGAGCAGCATTTTCAGCCCAAGCTTGCAGCAGTGCAACAGTGAATGCCGAAAAAACAGATACTGCACAGTACCGACTCACAATGCCGTGCCCTGTACACGCCGATCCCGCATCACCAAATCCCAAAAGCCTGCAACGAGCGCATACACGTAGCGCCGGTTCCATGCCGACACGCCCAAGTGCCGTCGTCCGACCACCTTCCCCCAAATTCCGAG